TCCGCAGTCGTCCGTCCCCCCCCGGAGCACTGCTTTACCGCGTTATATCCGAATTCGTGTTATATCGAGTCAAAAAATCTTACCATGTTATAGGTGAAACCGCGTTATATTGAACTTGCTTTGATCCGCAGTCGTCCGTCCCCCCCCGGAGCACTGCTTTACCGCGTTATATCCGAATTCGTGTTATATCGAGCCAAAAAATCTTACCGTGTTATAGGTGAAACCGCGTTATATTGAACTTGCTTTGATCCACAGTCCCCGCCCCCCGGAGCACTGCTTTACCGCGTTATATCCGAATTCGTGTTATATCGAGCCAAAAAATCTTACCGTGTTATAGGTGAAACCGCGTTATATTGAACTTGCTTTGATCCACAGTCCCCGCCCCCCGGAGCACTGCTTTACCGCGTTATATCCGAATTCGTGTTATATCGGGTCATGTTATATCGAGGTAGAGGTGTATTTGATTGCAGGAACTAGAAGCTAAGGCAAAAGTGACAGATTTAAACTCCAACTCAAAAGAATAAAGGGACAACAGGAACTGTATCATCCTGAGAAACCAGCTCCTCTCACCAGCAAAGATGGGGATAGAATCTCTCCAGTTTGTAACAACGTGGGTGTGTTGTTTGACTCTAAGCCGGTGTCTGTGTGTAACCAAATTCACCCCAACACGGCCCCCTTTTATGTAAATACTTTTACTGTGAGCTCGGGTAAAGGTAACCCCATAACTTGTGTAGAGAATGTAAAAGTCAATGGTAAAAGCTGTTTAGGGCAAATTTTGTCTGGTGAAAACAATTTCCATGGAACCTACCCCTCCCCCCCCCAATTACATTAATTCTTATGGGAAAATTGGATTCACTTCACATGGTTTTGCTTAAAGTAGCATTTTTCAGGAACAGAACTACCACGTTAAGCGAGACGTTACTGTACAATGCAAAGGAACATGAATGTTCAAGAGATCAAGACTTTTAAAATGATGCCTCACAAGGCAACTTTGTACCCAACCTATCATAATTCTATCGTAGTGGTGAATATGGGGGCTCCAGGGTGCTACTTTGAGGTACAGATTGTCACCCTGTGGTATCACTGTGGCACGGCCAGGGCCTGAGCAGGAAGCCTGGGACATGTGAGGAACAGACTGTGAACTTCCTTTCCCTTGCAGAGACGGCTGTTTGTGGTGTCCCTGTGCCCACAGGGCGGGTGACTTGTTTCCTTTAACCTTCTCCATTTTTACTTGTTTTTTATGAGTTGTTGTTTAATAAATTGTACGTGCTCTGAACTCTATATACTGATCAGTGGGTCAGGGAAGCATCGGGTGCAGAGAGTGCCCTGGAGTGGGGACACCCTCACCCCTGTCCTAAGTGACCACAACAAGACTGGGGGTCAAGCCCCCAGGAATCTGGGGCCCAGTCTTGCTGATGTAGCCTATAGGACTAACTTGCTTGCTTTTGAATATATATATATATATTTTTTTTTCTTATAGTTTAAGTATTTGATGTATTGTAATAGATGTATAGATTTATATTAAAGTTCGGCTGTAATGCAAGAGACCTACAGGCCATATCCTGTATGTTAAGCTAAGGCAAAGTTAGGAAATCTATATTAAGACCTTTTACTCAAAAAGCAAAGTTGACCTATAGCTTGTTACCTAAATAGATGAGTACCCACGCCTATGTCTATGACCTTTTATCTAGACCAACAGACAATGGAAAATGGCATAGGGGGGTTTTCCCAGAGACCTAACAAGTAAACCACCAGAGACTGATGTGTGTACATACCTGTCAACAATACACACATACATACTAGCCTATGGGGTAAGTGTACCCTAACATTTCTGCGGGTGAGGAATGAAATTTGGGCATAAGAGGAAGAAGGTCCGGCATGTGCCCTATGAAAGAGGTAACCCACCTCAATAGAGGATCTCTGTTCTTACTTTACTCCATCTCCATTTCTCACTGTCTCCGTTCTCACTTTACTCTATTTTCATTTACTTCCTCCACTCTATCTATCTACGTAGGCTACACTTGTTCTTCTTAAACTTTGAGTTTCAAGGGAACTAGGCTAAGCTCGGTTTCCCTAAGTTTTATTCTTAGTTTGTCTATTAGGTTTTGATTTAAGTGTAAGTTAGCCAAGTAAACCCTAGTCGGCTTTGATAGCTCTTAGCATTTTCTAAGCACTGCATCGCTCACTCAAGAATTGAGAAACCTGAACCGCAAGGCTGGTCCTGTGTCTCTCACCACCAGGTTATCAAGGAAGGGTGTGAGTATGTTAACCAAAGCTTTGTTATATATAATACTATATTACCACATGTATCTTTTGCATAGCAGTAATGCTAGTGTAACTTTGTAACTCTGGGTATTTTACCATTTACTTACTATTATTGATTTTAATAACAAGTCTTTAAGACTATATCTGTCTCACCAGTGTAAGCTTCCTGTCATACCCCCGAGGGTCCTTTATAAATTCTGTGGAGCCTGATTCAGGACAAGAACTTTTATCTTCTGATCAAACAGATTGGCGAGCCTAAACCCATACTCATTAATATTGATAATAATAATTATTATTATTATTAAGATCAAATACAAATAAAGTAATAAATTAAATTCCCATATTATCCCAATTAATATTATCAGTACACCCTAGATCAGGCTACACCGGGGTTACGAGGACTCTGCCGCACGGGAGGGAGGAAGGGGAGCCCTCGAGGTCAGGCAGGCCTCCGGGTAAAGGGAGTGGGAGCAAGGACTCAGATCCTTTCACTCGCCAATCCCACAGGGGCGTGTATAAGCCAGGAAAGTTCCCCACAATAGCGGGACCATTCCCTCGCTTACACTAGGAGCGGGGTCAGCGGCCGCCCTGCCCGTCCGCCCGGAGAGGGAAATAAACCCGGCCCTCCC